GGAACAGAGAGAGACAGAGCATGAACGGGGGAGGGGCAGAGAGAGAGGGAGACACAGAATCGGAAACAGGCTCCAGGCTCTGAGCCATCAGCCCAGAGCCTGACGCGGGGCTCGAACTCCCGGACTGCGAGATCGTGACCTGGCTGAAGTCAGACGCTTAACCGACTGCGCCACCCAGGCGCCCCAGCTCCTATTATCTTTATAAAACTCTTGTCTTTCCCAGTGAACATTTAGAAATTTAGAAACATATTAAAAAAGGAAATGCATTGGCATTTTAAAATGGATATACATATTTCATATATTCAATTTTATCCCATTGGCAATTAAAGTTTTTTACATAAATTCAGAAACTTATCTTTCTGACACTATAGGTATTTATACAATAAATATTTACCCATATTTTCTAGTTCTTAGAATGCTTAATTTTTTTGTTTGTTTTAGGGAATTCTTAAAGACCTAAATATAGGCTAATATCCCAAGGAAGTATTTTTGTTTGTTTATTTTTGAGAAAGAGAGAGAGAAACAGAGGATCCGAAGTGGGCTCTGTGCTGACCACAGAGAGCCCGATGTGGGACTCAAGTTCATGAGCCCGCAAGTTCATGACCTGAGCCAAAGTTGGTCACTTAGCCAACTGAACCACGCAGGGAGGCACCCCACAGAAGTATTCTTTTTATTAAGTTGTAGACCAAATACTAAAAGTCTACATGGCAAGACTTTTGTTAGCAAAGCTCCTCCTTCAGTTTATGCAGCCTCAACAACAGGAGGCAACAGAAATAAAATTTAAATAGGGCATACACAGCCATGCTTCTTTCAGAAATATTCAGTTAGAACCAATTGGCAGTTGCCAGAGGGGAAGGAGGGTGAGGGTTGGGCAAATATGGGTGAAGGGTGGTAGGAGGTACAGGCTTCCAGTGACAGAATGAGTGAGCCATGGAGATGAAGAGTACAGCACAGGGCACATGGTCAATGGTATTGTAATAGTGATATGTGGTGACAGATGGCAGCTACACGTGAGTATGGCATAATGTACATAGTTGTCTAATCAGTATGTTGTACACCGGAAGCTAATGTGAATTGTGTCAACTCTACTTCTGTTTGAATATATACAGTTTATATTGTAGTATATGTATATGGCTTATATATAATAAAATGTATACATTGTTTATATATCTAGTTAGAAGTTTTTGCTTTGCATTAAGCCAGGCTTCTAGTATGTCAACACACTGGTCCATTAGGTCTACTGCTTGCTAAGTTTTTTCTCTGTTTCTGGACCTAAATTTTAATCTACATGTTACTGATTTATGTAAGACACATGTTTCTATAGATGATTTAACAAACATACTCCATAACAATGTATTTCTCTTTAAATTTCCATGTCTTCATTTATTGCCTCCTTTCTTATTTCATAAAACCTCAAATTTTGTTTTCTTCCTGAACTATACTGCTTAGACAAGTCTGCCTTGGCCCCCATTCAGTAACGTTTATTACTAAAAATTATCATTAAAATGTCAGGACTATACCATTTTATGTATAGCACTTGTGACTACTAAATACTAAATCTACTAAATAGATCCCTTGAAAAGCATTGTATCAAAGTTCCTGTACTGAGGTACTGAAATTCAGTCAGACATGGTCTTTGATTCCTCATCCTGTATAATTCAGTTAAATATTTGTTTAAATCTGAAACTTCATATAGGATTCTTAATAAGATTGATTTCCTTCAGAATAAAACTGAGGAATATCTGCACTTAACAATCCTGACAGACTCATTACAGATTTTTGGTTTTTTTTTCTACTTGCATTCCAAGGAGAAATAAGAAAATGAGTCACATAACTGACTTGGCCATTATTTGGAGGAGGCCACAGCCTTCCTGGCTGGCCCATGCCTCTGTGGCTTAACCATAGGTCTCACCACTTGGGCAGTTTTGGTATTGCCTGCTTTAGATTCTTCAGATTCTGTAAAAGGATCTTGTATTTTATCTTTTGTTTGTTTGTTTATTTTTGAGAAAGAGAGAAACAGATCATGGGGAGGGGAGGGGCAGAGATAGAGGGAGACTGAGGATCTGAAGCAGGCTGCAGGCTCTGAGCTGTCATCACAGAGCCCGGCGGGGGTCTCAAACGCGCAAACCCTGAGAGCATGACCTGAGCCTGAGCATGACCTGAGCCTAAGCCGTACGCTCAACCAACTAAGCCACCCAAGCGCCCCAAGGGTCTTTCATTTTAGTAGAATTTCTTTTATGTTATTTGGATGGGGAATCTGGGTCACAAGCAAGAAACTATATGGCCTTTAAGAATCTTCCTATTCCATCTAATTGTTTTTAACCATAATGGTGGAGCACTGACAGATTTGATTTATTTCTATTCATGCCACTGTTGCTAAATTGCGAAACATGACGAATGTTTCCTCAACATTATATTTTATAAAGCCAAACGTAGTTTGCTCTGTTAGAGATTCTGGAGTTTAGCAGCCTGATTTAGTCTAAAATGTTTTACCATCTGCACTTATTTTTTCTGTATTGTCATCATGATTACCATCCTTTCTTTGTCCCTCCCTGCTAACGATTCCATTTCTCTTCCACCACAAGTTTTACTTATCTGTAATCAAACACAGGACCTCATCTCCTTTTTTTTTTTCCTCCAAAACCCAGCATCATCCAAGAGCTAGCTTTTCAGCATCACCCTTTTCATGAAAACATTCCCAGTTTTTAAGTCCTACTAATCTTGTTCTATTCTATCTCTAATAGCAACCCTTCTTCCATAGTCATTTAGATGCATTTGGTAATGCTACCACTTTTTTTTGGCAGCTAACCTCCAGAATTCTAGTAGGCATGTAACATACATTTTTTTCTGTTCTTTGCAGTTTGGCAGGGCAGCAGTTTTTTCCCCATTAGACAGATGAGGAAAGCAGGGTCAAGAGAATTTAAGAAACTGCCCCAGGAGTCTGCCTGCATCACTTTGTGACTTTCAGATCCAAACTGTCTACAGAGCCACGGAACCTTCCTGTCACTGTAGCACTCAGCCATGCATCCCAGATGACCTAGTAGTATTTTCTGATTATTTACTAAGTATAAGACATAAAAAATACATATACGCTTGTATGAAATGTTTAACATGAATCAAACAAATGAAATAAAGGACGCCTGTATTTGTGTTTTTAAACAAAGAGCATTTCTCTTACACAAGTCCAGCTCCTTGACTTAATCTAGCAAACTATGCCATGATTTAGTCAACCCTTTCGTATTTTTTCTAAATCTTGTAATTTACCTCTTTTTCCCTGAAGTTCTCTCATGACTCCTCGTCCCACCAAGCAGATTCTTTCAGGTGGACAATTCAGCAGCATTTTTCTTCCAGTTTTCCTTGAACCTTCCCAAGAATGTTTCTGTATTTATTCCTGGAATGGTTACTTATGTCTTTTAAAAAGTAGTCTTCATAATGTCTTTCCCATTCTGTAATGATTCATCAGAAAGGGAAAATATTATTCAGTTCTTCAACTGCTTGCTACACTATTTTGCTTACAGCTTGATTTTGAAATATGTCTTTGTCTAGTTTAGCCCTTTATTTCAGATCTGCTTGCAGTCAACAAGAGCACATTTATTTCTAGATGCTCCATTGTGTCAGGCACCATATTAAGCATTGGGAACCCAAATACAAACAAGCCATAGACTCAGTCCTTAAGGAGACCAGTTTTGACACTGAAACAGGAGAGCACATCTCCCTCTCAAGCATCTCATAACCATCTCTCCTATGCCTGCTCCTGATTGGGGTTGTAAAATTTATAGAATTATAAACTAAAATAGGAGCTGAGTGGAGCACCTAACCTAGATGGCTCAGTCGGTTGAGCATCTGACTTTGGCTCGGGTCATGATCTCAACAGTTTGTGAGTTCAAGCCCCACTGCTGTCCAGTGCAGAGATCCTCTGTCCCCCTCTCTCTGCCTCCCCTCTTTTTCTCTCTCAAAAATAAATATATAAAATAGCTGAGAAACCATCTTTTTTTTTTTTTAACCTGATACGGAAACTGAGGCACAGAGAGGAGGTTAAATGACTGCAAGTCACACAACAAGATTTAAACCTAGATTTTCCAACTCCCAATCCGATATCCTTTCTGCCATTTGTCACATTAGTTTATCATCTTCCATTACCAGGATGATCTCAATTGAACACCTTAAATTAGGCAGGAACTCCACTGTGGTAAGGTTCTTATATTTAAATTGCAAATTATATAAGGAAGACCATCTTGGAAATATGTAGAGAGTATACACAAGTCACATATGTCGCATCCATCTAGACTTGCTGTATTTACACTTAGAATTGTAACACAACCAGGTACTATTTAGGTCTTTGTGTTTATACTGCATTGGCATGCATAGTCTTAGGGGAAAGCAGAATTATCTGATCTCATGGAACTTATATTCTAGTTGGGGAAAACAAAACAAATTAGTAAGCTTTATAGTGAGAAGCTTATGGACCAAAACAAGTGGACCTTGGTGGTCTAAGAGAAGGAACAAGGGGACTAGGAAAGAGACCACTGCGATAGTGCAGATGAGAAGATTGCCTTTAGATCAGAGATACCAGTGGAATGGCGAGAAGTGGTCATATTTGGATTGTATTTTGAAGGTAGATCCAACAGAATTTCCTAACAGATTGGATGTTGGTTGCGAGGGTAAGGAAACAATCAAGGTTGACTTCTCAACTTTGGGCATGAGAGACTGCAAAGATAAGTTGCCATGTACTCCACTGAATCATGAACTCAGAAGTGGCATCATGTATGTGATTCTAGAAGTACAAGATAAATGAGAAAGAAATTGTTCCTCAAAGTGCCTCCATTCTAGTAGACAAGACAGACGCAAATGCATGCACATAATACTTCTTGGTTGTTATGACGGTGGCTTCAGCAAAGTGCTGTAAAAGTACACAGGAGAGAGAACAGTGATCTCTAGCCAAGGAAGTGAAGAAAGACTTCAAAGCAGAAGTTACATCTGAACTCAGTTTATCATTCTTCTTGAGTTGGGCATTGTATAACTTGAGCTTAGAAAGGTAAATTGTATTATGTTCATAGAGCTAGAATAGTAAGAGTAAAGCAGGCCAGTAGTTATTTTTTGCCTCCATGTAAGACCACAGTTATGTATGATTGACCAGAAGGAAAAATCAAAATCAAGTACACTTTCCAACCTAGTACTATTCATATACATACGTATTATTTTCCATTGCAGGAGCCTTCTTCCTCTATGCTGGATTCGCTGCTGTGGGACTCCTTTTCATCTATGGCTGTCTTCCTGAGACCAAAGGGAAAAAATTAGAGGAAATTGAATCACTCTTTGACAACAGGTTATGTACATGTGGCGCTTCAGATTCTGATGAAGGGAGATATATTGAATATATTCGGGTGAAGGGAAGTAACTATCATCTTTCTGACAACGATGCTTCTGATGTGGAATAATTTTCAGCTGCTGAAATATTTAGGTATTTAAACAAACTTGGGGAACAAAAGCAGCAATTGGTGACCTCACTGCCCTGCTTTTAATCTGGTTCTTTCCAGTCTAGTTTTGAATGACCTCATATTCTAGAATATTTGATTAGGAGGAAGATACAACCATGATGACATTTTTTTTTTCACAAGCAGAAATGTGAAACAATATTTAGAGATTTTAAATTAATAATTATTGAACAAATGTATGTAAATCCTTCCTGAGATAGTCTAAAATGAATACTGTATCCAGTGACTTCAGTGGTATCCTTTTTTCCTAAGACCATATATAATTATTAGTGGCAATAGAGTCAGTGCTAAACTAGCTGAATCGTATATGTATGATACACTTATGAAGAAGGATTCTGGGATATGATCCAAGGATGTTTTCTGTCAAAACATGGCCTGTTGGCCCTAAATTTCCCTAAGGACAAGTAGCTTATCTGTGATCAACTATTAGAAAGTAAATTCCATTTAAGCTTTCAGCAGATTCAAAAGTGCCTCCACAGAGGCATGGTTGTCCTTATCTCCTTTGGATTCCACATTTTGGTCTCTCTCTCCAAGTCAGATCTTGAGAGCTCTTGAGAAACTGACGCTGCACAGGACCTTTGGAACATTATGAAAAGCAGGTCTTTAAGGGTTTATTTTCATATGTATTTTTTTGCATCAGTGATAAGTATACATTTGCACAGATAAGCTGGCAAGTTTTGATAAGTATATTTTATTGCTAGAAAGTAAGAAAGAAAAAATTTTTATGGATCCCTGATTGAGTTAGTCACTTAAGTATGCACCTATAAACGCAAAACAGTGCCGTGTCTTCAAGTGTATTTCAGGGTTTCTGTTCATGCCAAAATCACCTGATACTCACCACGCCTTCACTCATCGACTCTAGAGCCCTACTATTTGTGCCTTCATTTTTGTTCTAAATAGCTGCTAGCAGACTATTTTCCCCTTTTAATCAAATAATTTCTGAAACAAAAAAGAAAGGAAGAAAATCAGTGACAGAGAATGCTGCTGTTATGTTGATGTTTAAGTAAATAGTGGGACTTAAGTTTTCCTTAACTGTTTATTAATTCTTCATAAGGGAATCATGACATTTCATTACTTAATAGTACTTGTCTTTTTTTACTTTAAGAGCACAAATTTGTTTTTATTTTGCACACCCTTTTCTCATTTTCCCTGACAGTTTACCAAAAAAGAAAAGATACATAAATTTGTCTGTGGGTGTTTCCTTTTTCTCATACTTGGCTTGGATTTTTTTCCTTGTCTAAAAATTGAGATTTTCTATTGGAACAGATCGATGTTTCTAATATAGCATACGTTTCTTCAGTGTCTTTGCCAAGTGTTCATTGGTTGTTATGCTCATTCATCAATGATCCCTGTTTTTTGTTCTTAAGAACTTCACCGGATATACAAAATTACTTGCTACTTCCAGTGAAAATATGAATGAATCTTAAGTTTGATGCATTTTAATATGGCTCTAAACATCTAATGAGGCACTCTTTGGACTGAAAAGATAGCTATCTCTAAATTCATTGTTTCTGCCAGTCTCCCAAAGGTGTTTTGCTCTTCGCTGGAAGTCTGGCTTATTCCTGTCACCATTATCAAAACTGAAAATGTAGCCAAGGAGGTTTATTCTCTTAGCCACCAGGGGTATGATAAGTGTGCTTTTAAAATGTCACTTTACTGGCCTAAAAATCCTTCAGCCAAAAAAAAAAAAAAAAAAGCTCCCTTTGATCATTTCATACAATAAAAAAATTTATTTTAGAGAGTTTTTTTCCCTGAATTAGGTGCTTTGACAATTGATTTCTAAGGGGATACTAGTATTGATTTTTCCCCCAGAAAAGCAGATGTGATTTAATAGAAAAAGTTATTCATATTTCTTATCCCATAAGAAATTTCTTATCTGTGTAATACTTCACACAGGGAAAGTGAAATGGAAAATGAGCTATTATGTGGCAAAATCAGAATATGGGGAGAAAAAGCATTTGGACCAATAAATGTATTTTTCTGATTTATCCAAATAATTGCCTCAATTCTTCTCTTTATTGTATACATAGCCTTAATTATATGCTTATATACTCAGCTGGGCTGAATGCACAGTAACCTTATTAAAGGAGCGACTGGACTTTTAGTATCTCCTAATGCAGAACATGGCCTGTTCTCCCTGATGTGAGCAAATGGCACTTTGAACTTTATATCCATAAATGCACATAAAAACAGGGAAAATTAGCCACAGTCCTCCTCCCCTCGTCTCCTCAAACTCTCCTTTAAAGAACTATTTGTTATTTATATAGTGATAAAGACAGTATTCCATATCTTGGAAGTATAAGACAGAATGGCATAGTATAAAGATTATTTATAATTTTTTTAAAAACAACTACTTAAAAAGAAACCTTATACAACTAGCGTGTTGTTTTTAGATTCAGTGAACATTTATAGTATGTTAAAAATTAAGTATTTGAACTTTTCAGGTTTTTTTATATTATGTACCTTTTAAGTTCCTAGCATCTTTGGCTACCACTATCAACTTGAAAACATTATGTTTGAAATATCATCAAATATATATATTTTTAGGACAATTTATATGTGGTATGATTTGACCTACCATATTAAAACAGACTGAGCATCATGCTTTTAACTGAAATTATAGGTGTCCTTCTAAGCATGCTGCAAATTCAATAGACATGTATTATGTTTCAGGAATACATTGCAGAGCAAGTCATAACTCCTAGTTGAGGCTTAGCTTGGTGGCTGAGGAGATCTGCTCTAAGGAGAATAGAACCCTCCATCTGCACCTGAACACAGGGCTGAACGTGAAGTCAGATAAATTGTAAAGATCTGGCATTAATAATTTTCTTCAATACAAACATTCTTAATAATTTTGACTGTCGCACCCAAATTACCCAAAACATGATTTTTAATGTATTTGTAAAAGATCCAAATGAAAACTAAATTTTAAAGGTAATATTTTCATTTGAAATTTTGTTCCCAGCCATATGCAGTAATTAGTTCCCTGATGGAAAATACTATGATGGTAATGGCTATCATCAAGTGCTTTTTCATAATAATATTTTACCACTGAACTACATTTTCATGTAGAAGATTCTAAATATTATTTTTTAGGTTATTCACCCTAAAATGAGAATTCCACTAAAGAATTTAGAAGTTGTTTACTATAGTTTCAAAATCCATTATCCAGAGGGAGAATGAACAGGAAAAATGTAACTGACAACCTACGCTTTTGCTTTTTATTGGAAAGTAAAATTGGTATGTATTACAATCCTAGATCCTTGGTGGAGACTATTCTACAAAATACTATCCATGTGTTCTCTAAGAAAGTCTCACAACTTAATGACACTAACCGTTTACAAGTACTGTAATACAGTAAGGAGGAGTGGAAGGATTGTTTTATCTCATCAGCATAGTTCAGAACAATAAAATTATTGAGATGTTTTGTAATAATCAGATTTTTTTTAACCATTCTCCTGGTTATAAAGTCTCAAATTACACTAGCACCTAACAACCTACATTTACACAGTTGTTGCAACAAGTTTTCAAGTACCAAATTTAGATCTTTTCCTAACTACAAATGAAAAAAAAAAATATCAGGCCACTAGCAAAGAATTCATAACAACGTGCTTTATAGCAAAATGTATTAAATAGCGGATAAAATTTATAGCTTATGTGTAGCTGCTGACAATGACAAGACTCAGAATTCTTCTCTAGATTAATTTTAATGTCCTGTTTTCTGTCACTTTCTATCAATTTTCTTAGCCTTGTGTACAGTAATGTTAAGCTAATTTGATCAAGTGATCAGTGGTAGCAGTGTATCTGTTATCAGTACATTCCCTTCTTCTGGGTGAGAAATATTGCTGTTTTCCACAAATAGCAATCATTTTAAAAACAACTGCTACCAACTTTTACATTATCTTTTACATTATCTTTTAGAGAAGGAAATATTTGTGTGCCAGTAATCATCAAAGAGATATTTTGTAAGTGTGCTAATGATGTTCAGAAGTACATGACAGAATTTTATCCTCATAACTTGCTTGTGAGTGTAAAACAATATAATTCCTATAAATCTTTACTTTGGATGTATAAAACAGTCTGTTGCACTGAGTGATTTGGTCTATGAAATGTTCAGTAACTACCTTCAGTTAGCAGTAATATTCAGATTTTTATTTCACACTCCTAAGTTCATGTGTTTGATTTTGTCATATCAGTATGAGAAAAAGGAATGCAGCTTACAGGTACTTAAAAACCAATTTTTGTAAAGTTTTAAAATTTTAGTAAATTTAACATCATTCCATCTCATTTGAAGGTTAAAAAGATGAGACTTAACTCTAGCCAAAGTAGAAATTTATATTCTACATGTCCAAACTGGTTCCTAGCGGCTTTTGGACTATATCTTATTTGATGTTATAGTATCTTTATTTGTAATAAATGTTCAAATTTCTATTTAGAAGCTCTAATGTACATCTAGATTAAATCAAAAGTTTTATGCTTTTAAAATATGTATTTCAAAATGTATATTTTAATTTGAGTGCATGTTATATAGTATTTAATACTTCACATGTCTTAGAAAATTCAGTATAAATATTTATTCTTACATATGTGACATATGGGATGTCTCAAAAATTATGAATATGTATCATTTCCTTCAAAGTCATTCTAGCCTATAGCTGTATCAAAAGTATTGTATATTTTATGGAAATTTAGTGATGTATATGTAAATTTTTTAAGTTATTTTATTGAAGTTCAATCTTTACATAAAATTAAAATCTTTTTTTAAAAAAAGTGTCAGTGCCAGAACTGTAAATGAAAATAATCAAATAAAAGTTAAGACAATTCATTACTCATTTATCTCCCTTGCACTTTTGTATTTTCTTTAATTCTCTTCCTTGGATTTTAGGATCTAGACATAGCAAAGGCATCTACAAAGCTCCACATATTGAATAATACTTTTTTATCTCTTTTGATCATGTGTAAACTCGATCTTTAAAAAAATATTTTATAATACCTAAAATTTGTTCCAAGGAATAATTCTAAATAGTAAATATAAAATGTAAAACGAAGTGCTTAGGAGCCCTTGGAATATTATTTCTGTTTGTTGCTAAAACAAGTTGTAACATAAACCATTATGTCAGGTTGACAAAAATTGTATTTGCTCTGTATGTGAAAACAAAATACCTGCCGGGTGGCCTGATGACAGTTCCTTTTGGCACTGTATAGCTCTCCATTGCCATTTTTCCCCAACTGAAGCTTTTAATTTTTTTTTTTTTAATAGTAAGAATTATCTATTGTTTGATCTGGGCAGCTGTTAGAATTATCTCCATAGTTAGGGTGTGCCATCCTGAGCCCAACTATAGAAACAGCCTGAAGAGATCCCCTGAAAACACTAGATCACTCCAGAGGCTTACAGTGGAGGGGACTCTCCTATCTGTGTGCCTTCTCTATGCACACAAAACTACATTTGATTTTCTCCTGTTTAAAAAAAAAAAAAAAAAAAAACCTTAAAGTGGAGTTGCATTTAACCAAGGATTCTGATGTCAGCAAGTAAGGTAAAAATCCTGCAGTCAAAACGGCCCAAGAAAATCCCCTAAATATGCATAAAGGATACACTCACCAGAGCACCTAAATAATGCAGTACATATCTGTGTCAGTGGCCAAAGTCTTCATTTAACTGTCCAGTCCTGTGGGGTAATCATTATAGTGCTTTTATGGGTACTGAACATAAATTCAGAACATTTTGATGACTTACCCAAGATCACACACTAAAAAGTGATACAAGACCTCTGCATGGACTACACCAATATTCTTCCTCTCTTGGTCATCATTTGGAATGTCTTCTAGTCAGACCCAGGCAGATTTCCTGTGTTGCAACTTAAAAGGCATGCGGAGAAAGAATCAGATGCCTCATTTTAACCTGGACTACAGACACAAATTCTGACAACTTTTGATTTGGGGATTTTTCTCCAAATATGAAGCCCTATATAGTACATTATTTAAGGAGTCAGCATGAACACACATTCTCCAGTTTTGAATCCCAGCCTTTTCTACTTCCTGCCTGGTAACTCAAATTACTGAGTTACTCTTTGCTCCACTTCTTGACTATAAAGTGGATGTGTGACTACCTCATACATGTATTGTGAAGGTTCATCAATCGTGTAAAGCATGTAGACCAATAGTATACAGTAAGTGCTGGATAACTATTGACTGTTCTTAGTGTCGTCATCCACATGCTATCCCTGATGCTGCTAAAGCCACACTGTGCAAAGCACAAGCAGTGTGTTTATAAATTCTCTTCCTGTGAACAACTAAGAACAGGAACACGTGAGCTTCTTTGACATATGTCATACAGGCTGTTTGCAGCAGGCAAGCTTCTGCCAACCAGAATGGTTTGAGCAGATATGGCTGGTTAGCCTGATGTCCTTCTTGCTTTCTCCGAGACTCCTTCCCATGGACATTCTCCTGAAGGGCACAGTTGAAAAACACAACATTCTCATAGTCTCCAGATTAACAAGACTACACAATTTCTGTATATGTGATCTCTGAATCCAGAAACAATTTTAGAATATCTCTCAGTAACCTATCATTTATATCCAGCATTTAAAAAATTTTTTGAGGGATGCCTGGGTGGTTCAGCCAGTTGTCCAACTCTTGATCTCATTTCAGTTCTTCATCTCAGGGTCATGAGTTCAGGCCCCGCATTGGGTGCCATGCCCAGCCTTAAAAATGTATTTTTTAATGTTTTTATTTACTTTTGAGACAGAGACAGAGCATGAGCAGGGGAGGGGCAGAGAGAGAGGGAGACAGAATCTGAAGCAGGCTTCAGGCTCTGGGCTGTCAGCACAGAGCCCGACGCGGGGCTCGAACTCACGGAGTGTGAGATCATGACCTGAGCCAAAGTCGGATACCCAACTGACTGAACCACCAAGGCGCCCCAAAGTAATAATTATTGTTGAACTTCTCTCCAAATGAGAAATGACATTAATTAAATAAAAATAATTATTTTTGAAATCTCCAAATGAAAAATATTAATACTTCACTAAGAGGCTATGTTGAAATTAAGCTATATACTAAATGCTATGAATTCAGTCGAAACATTGAGAGTATTTTTTTACCTTTAATTCATGCATTTTTCAACTACACTTACAAAAACTAATTTCAGGGGCACCTGGGTGGCTCAGTCAGTTAAGCGTCTGACTTCAGCTCAGGTCACGATCTCACGTTCCTTGAGTTTGAGCCCCGCGTCGGGCCCTGGGCTGATGGCTCAGAGCCTGGAGCCTGCTTCCGGTTCTGTGTCTCCCTCTCTCTCTGCCCCTCCCCCGTTCATGCTCTCTCTCTGTCTCAAAAATAAATAAACGTTAAAAAAAATTTAAAAAAAAAACTAATTTCAGATGATCAGCAGAGTTTTTACATGAAAGAAAATATTGGCATACTAGCAATGGATATTAATGTTTATTTTGGACAGAGCGTGAGCAGGAGAGGGGCAGAGAGAGAGGGAGACACAGAATCCAAAGCAGTCTCCAGGGTCTGAGCTGTCAGCACAGAGCCTGACACGGGACTCAAACTCATGAACCCCAAGATCATGACCTGAGCCGAAGTCAGACGTTTAACTCAGCCACCCAGGAGCCCCCAACAAATGGATATTAAAACAGATTTGTTACAACAGTGGTTCTCAAAATGTCCTCAAACCAGAAGCACTGACGTCACCTGTGAGTTTGTTATAAATGCAAATCTGTGGGCTTCACCTGACATACTGAATCAGATATCTGGGGATATACATAGTCCAGGAAACTATTTTTTAATTGAAATATAATTGACATATAACACTGTATAAGGTATACAATGTGTTTGATTTGATGCATATATTGCAATATGATTACCACCACAGTGTTAGCTAACACTTCTCCCATGTCACATAATTACCATTTCTTTTTTGTGGTGAACAATCCCATCTTTTAGCTACTCTGAAGATTATTAGTACAGTATTGTCTATAATCACTATGCTGTACATTAGTTCTCCAGGACTTGTCTCCTAGTTCTAAGTCTGTACCCTTAAACAACATCCCCCCTTCTCCAGACTGTGGTAACTACCATTCTACTGATTTCACAAATTCAGCTTTTGATCAGGGAACTTAACAAATCGCCAGGTAATTCTTAAGCACACCATGGTGTGGGTTACCACTGCAATAGATTTTTGAAATCATCACTTTAAAAAGGAATCAGCTAACAAAGAAAAAATACATAAATAGGAATCAGCTGCATGTTCTTCCAAATGGTGAGCTCATCTAGTAAATAATAAACAGTGGATTTATATGCAAGTTGCTTAGGAATTCATCAAGCTAAGTCATTTCCACCTCAGGGACTTTGCTTGGTATGCCTGTTGCCCCAGTCTTTGTGTCTGGTTCCTTCTTGTCATTCAGCTTTCAGCTCAAAACCATCTCCTCTGAGAGCTTGTCTTGACTCCCTTACTTCCTACTACATCACGTAACCTTGCTTTATTTTCTTCCAAGTATTTATCACTGGACAGTTTTTTTTTTCTTATTTGTTGTCTGTCTCTCCCACCAGAATATACACTGCATGAGAGCAGGGAATTTTCATTATCCACTACTGACTCTCCAGCACCTCTTACAGTG